ATTCCTGCTCTGCTTATTTAGCAGTGAATGTGGTACAGAATCCCACTTTTTCTAAAGTAATCTATTGCCATTGCAGATGTACATGTCTGTACTGGCAGTGGTTTTCATAATACATTACTTTTGAAGAGGGTGAGGGAAAAGAAGATAAGCTTCAAGAGAAGGCAGTCACATTAACACCCACCAGATTTTGAAGTTAAGTAAGCTTTGTATGTAATATACAGCAGAACGTTGAAAGATTACTTATATAATAGACATTTCCAAAAAATGAAGCTTCCTGAAACTATAGGGTGTCCTGCTAATGATATATCTAATTCATTTTATGTTCAGATTTCTGAGAATATGATTTTTCCAACAGGCAGCCTTTGCTTGTTAAATTTTTTAAAACACATTTCCTCAATTTTCTTCTTACGTATATTGCTTCTTCTTTGCTCTAGTATTTCCAGTATTCATACATATTTATACTTTAGCATTTCATCCCCTCATGCAGTCTCATCTAGTCTTTGTGTTTATTTTCTTCTGCCATTATTTGTGATTTGTTTTTCATTAAAAAAATCCTCCTGTTAAGTCCGGTGTTATCTAGTAGGGATCATACTCCGAAGATGTTTCTCTCACCTTTCATGTAAGGTGTCTGTTTATATCTAAACATAGCAAGTGATCAGAAATAAATAAATTCTTAAGATCGTAATATTTCCATCTTATATAGGGTTGTCTGCTTTCAACACTCTGTTTTTTCACTCTGTTAGCTGATTTCTCTTCCAAATACGTGTCTGTGCTGCTCTTTCTTCTCTTAAACTGCGTAGCACTTTGTTCTTAAGATAGATCAACTCAGAAATATTTTTAGCAAACACTTTTGGTTATATTTTAAAATCAGATAATTCTTAGTCTTTAATTCTTAATCTATGAGCTTCAATTGGTTTGTGTACAATTTCCAAATTATGTTGTCTGTGATAATTAGAAAAATTATTGAAATCAAGCTATTTATATTCAGAGCCTGTTGTTTAGCAAATCAGTAATTACATTTTAGAAAGTTATTTCATTGCTTAGTTTACTACAACCTTGATTTGGTTTGGTTTGGTTTTAGGAGAGGGTATCTACTCAAAATGTTCACCTATTAGCTCCTATATTTCACAGTCAACATTTTTTTTTTTACCAGAATGGATATTGCATCAGTCTCCTGGCATTTCTAGGTAGTTCTTTTGCTAAGTCCTTAAGACAGATATCACATCTGTGTGCTCTTACTTCCCAAGTAATTCTCCTGACTTGATTTATTTGAGTTGATAGCAGATTTTTTCCCCCTCATCTAAAATACTCTTTTCCTTTTCAATTTTCTTCAGAAACACTTCTGAACATATTTGCAGTTTTATCAAATATGCTGTGTAGTTATAATTTACTTTTGAATAGTGTTCAGATCTTTGTCCTAGAAAAGTGATAGCAAATGTATTCCTTATGTGGCTAATGCCCACTAGCCAAGATGAACAGTGTATCACATGCAGTGTTTTGTGTGTGTTTATGCTGAAGATTCAGCAATCTCTGGGTTTTATGAATGAAAATATGCTACAGATGCAGTTTATGTGGGGATATTAAAAAACTTGTGCAAATAAATAAATGGCATATGTTATTTTTTTGGACTGTGAGATTAACAAGGCTGAGATATGAAATAAGTTTTAGAAGGATAGGAAATTCAGTATCTCTGTTGTTGGAGTCCTTATGATCACAGTATAATTGATGCCAAGTGCTCAGAAGCTGTGAGTCAGGCTGCTAGAACAAAAATGTAGGTTAAAATAAGATTGGAAAATGTTAGGTGCTTTAATTGCCTCCTACTTCTGAGCTCTTGGGGTGAAGAGTTCAACATTTCTTTGGCAGTTACAAAGGTAACATATTTCTTTTGTGTATTGTTCTGTGTTTTGTTTCCATTTGTTGAAAAGGTGACACTTTAATATAATCTCCAAACCTCTGGAGATGGAGTGTCAGCAAGAATATGAAACTGGCAGGGGACTCATTATTTGTGTGGTGCTTGAAGACATTAACCTCAGGTGGCTGAAACGAGCCTAGCCATAAATAGTGCAAGCTAAAGAGTTTTCTTCCGTTCTTCAAATTGAGAGAGCATGAGCAGAGTGATTTTAAAAGTAGCTAACCTGAGGATTTTTTTTTTTAGCTAAATCAGGATCTTTAGCAGATTTGAGTAGCTGTAACTTTTTCCTTCCAAATTTGATTCTGATGGGATTTCTCACTTGCAGTTATCATGCAACTTAGGCAAAAGCTTGAAAAACTACAGAGCAGCAACCTTCCAGAGAGCTTTAGAGTCCCCTATGATCCTGGGCTAAGAGCAGGAGCCCTGGTGGTAAGTACTTTTGAGTTTCCACAAATGCTGTTTGAATCATCTCTTAATATGTTTTATTTGCTAAAATATTTTGCTAATGTCTAAAGATCCTGTTTTCATGTACCTTGAGATTCTCGCCTGCGGACCTACCCTATTTCACTGTAATACTGTGGCATTTCTTGTTCTCAGTAAGGCTTCATTCGCAAAACTAAAATAATTTTTTTCTGAATGCAACTGTGTGCAAAATGTTTAATCTGTTGTTTTATGAATGACTGTGTTGAATTACTTCCACAAATGCCATTGAGTTTGCCTGAATGGAGGGAATTGAATAGACTGAAGCAGTCTGGGTTCTGAGTCACTCTTATCCAGGTCACTGGAAATCAGGGGAGGGAATGATACGGTAAATTGCACTGGGTGAATCTTACTTGCCTGGTTTGCAAAACAGCCGTCAAAGGGAGGGCTGTCAGGAGCTTCTGCATTTGCCAGAGATGTCAGAATCTCTCACTCCTTGTTTACAAGCGCTCTCAGCCTGAACCAGATTTACAAGCTAAATCCAGTTTCCGAGAGTCAAGCTGGACTTTTTCCAGCTCCCCTATTATGGCCAGCATTACAAGCTTGCAGGTTCAGAGGCTTTGTGTGGCGAGTGCATGCCACTCTGCCCGTGCTTTCAACGGGGTGCCTGCCCGATAACGGAGTGGGAGCTGTAGCCAGGCTTAAAACCGTGAGCTCCAGCTGGTGCTTAAGGAGGTTGGTTGTGTTGGTGTTGAGTAGAGCACCTGGCAATAAGTTTATCTTTCACAGATAGAGAAATGCAAAGTAATGGCATCCAAGAAGAAGCCCCTTTGGCTTGAATTTAAATGTGCAGATCCCACAGCTCTGTCAAATGAAACCATAGGCATTATCTTCAAACATGGAGATGACCTCCGACAGGACATGCTTATTTTACAGGTATGATAGCTAAAATGCTGTTTTGAATGCTTAAAATGAATACTGTAATCAAAATTCATATTTAAAAATCTTTTTACTTTGCTGAAGTGTGAGTACAATATCCTTATTGTCCATATAAAATAGAAGTCTTTCACTTGTTAAATTGTGTATGACAGCAGCTGACATCAAAAGTGGATTTTCTTTTCTATTCTGCATCTTTCCTGTATTACTGTTGCTTTCTTTTCTCCTGCCACATTCACACTTTGGTGGTCTAGAGAAAAAATCTCTTACATAGCACAAGATGGTCTGTTTTTGTGAGGGATTATTTTTCTCTTTTATTTATGCACTGAATGAAGTTACAAAATAAAAACAAAATCATAGGTAGCATCGCTCTGGTAGTATATCACTGATAGCTCAAACTAGTTTACTGGCACTTTGGGGGATGCTTATGGCGGTGGGGGGAAAAAAAAGAATGGGTATACCTGCTGTTGCATTGAGTTTCTGCTCATATAGAAATCATGAAAAATATTTGTTAAGTGGAAATTGCCTGAACACAGAACAGATGAGGAAATATAAGCCCTTCTTCTCTAACTGGTAATCTTGAATGGCTGCGTGCTCTGTTTTGCTTTCTTATCTGTAAAATAGACACATAAGTTTAGCCTCACCTCAGAAGTCCAGGTAGGGTTATTTGTGTGAATAAGTAATGCACAAACAACTTGATATAACTTGAAGTGTATGTATTTGTTTTTTCAACTAGATTCTTCGCATTATGGAATCCATTTGGGAAGCAGAGTCTTTGGACCTTTGTTTGTTACCATATGGTTGCATTTCTACTGGAAACAAAATAGGTAATGTGATTAGAAACTCAGAATACCGTAGTTATAGAAGCTGGAACCTGCAATCAATTTACCTCTAATAACCATAGTTGGTTGGAAAATGTGGTGAAAACAAGCAACTTACTCAAAATGTATTTTAATATATGGATAAGAATAAAATAGAAAAAAAAAAGGGGGGGTTAGAATAGCCAAACACTCTTTTTTTTTTTTTTTTTCTGACCAGAGTTTCATACCTCGTGCTAGCCAAACAGTGCAGGAAGAGCTGCACTACTCAACACCTGTGTGGGCAGTATTCCTCAGTGGGCATAATTCCTGCAGCACAAATGATCTATTTTCATGACTTAATGATGAGAGAGATCAAAGAGTTGCTTAAAAGGCTTCCTGGAGACCAGTGTGATGTTGTGTAGAGCAACCTAAAGAGGAATGAAGAATCAGTTTAGATCCACAAAGCCAAACTGATGCACAATTCATACATTCCAGTGGCTCCAAATTGATTCTTCATGTTTCATGCATCCCAGTACATTCACACTGTGTGCACACTATCCCAGTTTCCTAGTATCCAGTTAATGCAGAATTAACCGTAGAGCCAGTGATGCAGTCCAGGTCTTGAGCACTTGACTGGAGAAAAGCCTCCTTGGCTTAACAAAAATGGGCTGTCCCCAAAGCTATTAATCTCTTGTGCTGAAGTATTAATCTATTGTGCTGACTCTTAGAAACCAGCATTAAAAACATACTTCCTAGCTAAAATATATTGCCGCATAAAATGTTTATCATCCATTGCCCTAGGTGACCCTGCGTGTGCAGGGAGGTTGGACTAAATGACCTCTAGAGGTCCCTTCCAACCTTAAGCATTTTATGATTCTATGATTCTTTTGGCCTCAAGATTTCTTAGCAATGCAGAATACTCAAATTCACTGATAAAATGCTACATAGTATGACACAAAAATTTCCTTTTTCCTAAGTCCTTGCAAATTAAATAAATAGTATTGATCAAATTCTAGTAATAAAGGAAGTGGAACATGATATATCAAAATACTAATTGCACTTTAACCCTAAATATAAGGAGAGCTGGGAGGGGGTTCTCTCTTATTTCAGGTACATTATAACAAGCCTAGGCTTTTGTAGGGATATTAGAATTTAACTTAAGTTTGTAAAAGTCATCTTAAAACAGTCTAAAACATTGAAGTATTGGAGAAAGGTGAAGGAATTGTGCCAGTGATTATAATATGCTTAAATTCAAATTATGGACTTCATTATTCTTTCATGAATTCTTAACAGAATCCCCATTCTTTGATTTCAGTGACATAATTGTTTGTTTTCCTATATGCATGTGGGAGAGCTAAGAATTAAGCTTCCCCTCAGCACCACACTAGGGACATAGTTGATCCCACAACGGTTCCTGTTCAGTTTACTGCGAAAACCTGCAGCCTTCGTTGGTAATACTCAGTTTGGGAGCCTTTGGTGTAGAACCTGTGCTTGTTTGGAACAAAACCAGAGAGTCGTGGCACGCAAATGTTCTTCCACAGTATTAATTTGTTATCCTTTTCCAGGCTTTTTCTTCCTTTCCACTTAATATTTTCCATGAAATTTGGGGCAGTTTCTGAGCCCATGTAGTGACACAAGGACATTCCCCACTCTACAGAGTGCAGGGAAGCAGCCAGGTGTCTTCCAGGTTCCCAGTGCCTGGGTGGCATCCCCTCCTGTGCACATCCTTCCCAAGCTGTCGAGGACTGTTATCTTCAGTGCAGTTTGGCAACTTTGGAAATGTCCGTACTCTCCAAACAGACCTCAGTAAGATTTATTTTTTACCATGCATCATAAATGACAGATTGTGCCCTGTTTTCTCTCCCTGTGACATGGCCACATATGTTCCTGGCTCCATGAGGTGATCACCACTGCTCACTGTGTTGTATCGGTGCCAAATTAAAGAAGTTCAGGCTGGCACATAATATGAAAGTCACCTGCTTTAGTAGCACAGATCTCCAGTGCTTCCTTCCCATTGAATAAGTCCAACTGGGATTTTCTGTCACACTTCCTGAAGTCTCCTCTAGGACTAGCCATACCTCCTGCGAGGCAGATCTGGGTTTCTAAAAGTTTTCCAGTAGAGCGATGCTGTTTGTCCCTGCACATGACTCTTTACCGTGATACCTTTGAAGTACTTTGTTGGGCAAAATAAGCTGGTTTTGTACCACTCTTTTGGCACTTTATATCCCTCTTCTGGCACTGCACTGGAGTATGAACAGTCTGGGGTTTTTGTTTGTTTGTTTGTTTTTTGTTGCTGCTGTTGTTGTTGTTAGCATCTGCCTTAAAATCTATGGACTTTGCACACTGCTAATGAACAACAGCTATGTTGGGAGAACTTTAAATGGAAAGAGAAATAGAAGGTGCCTTCTGGAATAGCTCCATTCCCCTGGAATTGAGAAGTTCTTGGCCGGTAGAGGGAGATTAGTGAGCAATCTCCCACGGCAAGGGAAGGGAAGTGTTTTTAGTAGCTGCAATGTCATCTGGAGCTTGCTCTGAAGAAGAAAACAGCAGCTTGGCAAGCACAGACCAAAATGAAGAGCTTTTCAATTTGTTGCTGTTTATCAGTCATGTTTCCCCAATAATTTTATTATAAACAAAGCCTAATCTCTTCCGAGACAGAAGAAATACCTCCGGGGAGAAATTAGCTGTGGGTGAAGGCCAGGAAAAGATTACAGCTTTGTCTTTCTGTTGCTGAAAATTTTGCAGAAAATACAGTAAATGCAAAAGGGTAAGAATGTGAATAGGTAGAAATTCATGAGATCCAGGTAGGGAGACAAATTCAGATCAGAAATTGGCTTGAATCCCTTTTAGGGGTAAGGGTTACTTTGCTTGCTTGCTTTGTGTTGAGCTAGGGCTGAATGCAAGTTTTTACTAGAAGACCCTGTTGGACTTAGTCCTGAGAAAGAAAACGTAATATTTCCAATTCCCAAATCAGCTTGCTAAAAGCTGAGCCTTCCTAGGAGTGCCCAGCACTAGGGCAGTTGGTATTTGCCCATCTGTCTGCAGAGGAGAGCTGTGTTACAGCCTCTGCTTCTGCTTTCTCCCTCCAGCTTCTTCACTGCGGGCCCTGTTGGCACAAACAGTACCAGTCCTTGTTTCTGCACCGTGATGCTCTGAGGTGCTGAGTTGCATCTGTTCCGTTGAGGGACTTTCTCACTTGTCTGCTGTTCACAGTGTCTGCTAGTCCCATGCTCGGGGGAATGGGCCAGTTATTTCATTATATTTCTGTTTTGATGAAGAATGTTTGTACTGACTCTTACCTACGTCCAGGTCCCAAAATCCTGAGCTTTGCACCAACAGTCCAGCTGCTGCATCTCACTGCACACCTCCAGCTCTGCTCCTCTGCCACAGCTCTGGCAGCACGGGTCTTGCGAGGGCACTGTAATCTGCAGCTTCTCTTCAGCTCCCCAGTCCTGCTGTAGCCAGATTTATGAAGGTGGTTTAAAAATCCACCTTTTAAATGTAATTTTGCCTATTTTTGAAATATTTTAACAATTTATATTAAATTAATACTATTTCTCCCTTATTTTCTGTAGGAATGATTGAAATTGTGAAAGATGCTACGACAATTGCCAAAATCCAGCAGAGCACAGTTGGCAACACTGGTGCATTTAAGGATGAAATACTGAACCAGTGGCTCAAGGAAAGATGTGTGATTGAAGAAAAGGTGAGTTGTTTGAATTCTTAAGTTGGATTTTCAAATGTACCCAAGCAATTTAGCAGCACAGAGCCCATAAGGTTGTGTTTGAACTACTTAGGGAAGTTTGAAAAACCCATTCTGTTTCCCTGTACCCAGCTGTGAGTTTCTGCAAAGGTGCCTTTTGCACCAGCTGGCAGGCAGGCTGCTGAGCAACAAGATGCTTTGGAAGTGCCCCCCTTGTCAGTGTATTTACAAGTGATACGTGGGGAGCAGATTGAAAGGATGTCTAGGAAAACGGAAAGGCTGTGGGCATAGAGGATGTAGGGGCAGGCTTCAGTACCCACAACTTCTTTGCTGCTAAGCTTTCTTCCTGCTTTTTCTCATGCAAGTGTGCATAACTATATACTTACTTCGTGTTAAAGGGGGCAGCCTGCTGTTGCAGCATATTGAGTGTGATGCAGGGTAGGTGTCTTAATCTCTGTTGTGCAGGTGTATTATAAAAGAGAGTTGTCTAATTTTTGATTGATACTTGTCCACAGAGAGTCATATGACTCTGAGAATGACGAGGGAGTGTTAGTTTTCAGCACTGAAGTGTTTAACCTCTTTAAGAAGTTTTTTTTTTTTTTTTTAGTTTCAGGCAGCTGTAGAAAGATTTGTTTATTCTTGTGCTGGTTACTGCGTGGCAACCTTTGTACTTGGAATAGGAGACAGGCACAATGACAACATTATGATTACAGAAGCAGGTGAGTTTTCTTCCTTTTTTTTTTTTTTAAAGAATTACATAGAACAAGCAGAGGCTGGCTATACTTCACTAGGTATGCATGTTAATCTAATAAATAATGAATTTAACCAGGGGTGAAGGGACACAATCTAATTCTGTCAGCCTTACTTAGAAATTCAAGTCTTTCTGTAGCATTGAAACCTACTGTCATCCTTTTGGCCTTGAAACAAACTCTAGATATTTTTCATTAATAAGGTGGTTCTTTTGCTTTTCTAAGTTTGAGTTTGTTACTTAGTAAGTTCTGTGGAATGTAAAACTCATTTTTCACCTAGATTTAAGATCTAAAAGCCAGCAAGGCAAAAGCCAGATGAAATGACAGCTATTTGCCTGTCTGGAGTATGAATGTGGCTCTATGTTTAGTGGACTTGTCTCTGATGTCAGAATTTAGATGTTATTGGAATGCTTTCACTTCCAAGAGACATGAATATTTTATATGCCATAATAGAAAATCCTACAAGGATTTTACTAGTTTTACTAGTTGTACTAGTTTGCTAGTATGTTTTGTTAGTAAAGGCTGCAGATAGTGCGGAAGCTCCTGAAGGAACCTCATTAGGAGTTGTTTCATTAGTTGCGCATTGTTTTGTCCCTAATTTTATCCTTCTATGGAAGGAATCCCAGGAAGTACGAAAAATGAGCAGTACATGTGGAGTTTTATTTAGTCTGAGATATTCACTTCCAGTTTCTTGCTCTTGATACTTTGTAATTGGTATTTACATAATGCTAAGAGACAGAAAATTCTTTTGGGCTTAGTTAGAAGACTGTATACTTAATATTAATCATATGATAGTTAAAGTTTTACCAGTTGTCCTTAGGAGGCTAGAGAGAATAAAGTAGCCTGAAGGCAGAAATGAGCTAATTGAAGACTGCAGTATAAAAGCTCATCAGAAATCCTTGAGGAAAAGAAGACAAAGAAATGATTTAATTTTAACATTACTACATGTAGTTCTATCCTACATCATATAGTGTCAGTGCCATTTTGCAGAGAGCGAAGGACAGGTCAATAGGAAAGAAGAGAGAAAAGAGAGGTCATTCTGTGATGAGCAGGAGCAGAGCAGCCGGAGTGTCTTCTGCTGTCTTGAAAAATAGAAGCATGAAGAATGCAGCTCTGCAGAGCGTGTCAGCTCTGGGGTAGGCTGTGAGGACACAGAAACTGTCTGAAATGCTGGAACATTTCAGGTTATTTCACCTAAGAAGCGCTATTAAGTAAGTGCTTATAGCATTTGATGTTTTGTTGTTTAATATACAATTTTTGTTATTGCAAATCTGTGTTTTTCATCAAACACACTCTTGCATTTTGTGTAGCAGTGCTAGTAGCAAAGTAATTTGGAGAGGAACAGGGCACTCTCTTCCTGTAAGTGCAGTGAACCTTAAAATGGGATTTTTTTGGTCACTTTCTTGGGATCTAATGCCCTACTGCACTCTCCAAAGGGTGGCAGTGCAAATCTACTCTGCATGTGCAAGATGGTTTGGAACTTGGTAATGCAGATCTGTGAGAAAGAAGCATGTTCTAGTGGCTCATCCGAGTCCAGGGAGTGAGATTGTGCCACAATCCCAAGGGAGTTGGTAATATAACCTGCAAGGATTTCCATGTACTCATGTGCTGGGATTCTGCATTGTTATGGATTGGATGTACAAGCTTTACTTGCTTGCTTTTTGAAAAGTTGTTAGTGTATGTTTAGAAAATACAGCAGTTCTTCCAGCTTGTGAAAGGCTGAGAAAGATAAACAAAAAGTAACTTGGCCAAGGAAACAGAATTATAGATGTAAAACAGTAAATAGCCTTTTCTGCAAAACTAAAGACTGAGCACCTATACCCAAACCAGTTTGCTGGGGGTATTGCAAATACAAGTAAGTACTGCGCTGAGTTTATTTTATTTCAGCCTAACCTTAACTTCTCTTCTTTTTTATCAAGGTAACCTTTTTCATATTGATTTTGGACATATTCTTGGGAATTATAAAAGCTTCCTTGGAATTAATAAGGAAAGAGTTCCTTTTGTGCTGACTCCAGATTTTCTATTTGTCATGGGGACTTCTGGAAAGAAGACAAGTGTCCATTTCCATAAATTTCAGGTAAAGAGTTAATATTTAGCTGTAAATCAATTAAGCAATGTTTTTACTCACTGAGAGGAACATTAGGGCCTTAGTTTTTAAAGGTCTAGGCTTCTGGGGATTATGTTAATAGAATTTCACTGAATCATAATACAATTCTGAGATATTTTAGAAGCAGCTAAGAGCAAAAATTATCTATAACATTATGGGAACTAGAATTCAGACATCTACAAAAACACTTCAGAAAGCTTCAGCCAGCAGCAGACTGTATGGGAAGTCCTTTCTTCTTCCTTGTTTTGATTGAAAAATACTTTTTAGAGGGCTTCAGTACCTGCGAAGCATCGACTAGAGTGTCCTGTTCAGTAGGAGCAGGTGCTGGGTGTTCTGCAGACGGCTCTGCCAGTGCTGTTCTCTCCTGATCCTGCCATTTGGATAGTGCATTAAATGGCTGTCTCAAAGATCAATAAAAAGGAAGTTAAAAGTGAAATGCATCCATCCAAGCAAAGTTAGTAACACTGAACAAAATAGACCTCGCATACCTTGCTGTAAAAAATAAGCATTTTTATTTGTGTGGTTCAAAAATAAGCAAAATGAGTTTTGGTTTTAAAATGGGTAATTTTATCATGTTTCCTGCTAGGGAGGGCTTCATTCATTGTGCCTGCTGATTCATTCAGGTATTAATGGAAAAGTCTCACCATTTATCCGTCATTAATTTTAAGAGCATCTCTAATTTGTACTTCAGCTATGTTAACCTATATTGTTCCTTTGTTTTCACATCCCTCAGTGCTTTTACTATTTAAAATATCTGTGGGAGTTTTGTTTGGTTTTATTTCTCTGTTACCTACTGGACACGGTCCATACAAATGTTATAGTTTTAAAATGTATTGTAGGTGTCAGAGGAAACTAGCTACACAAATCACTTTGATTAAAGACCATGGTAATATAGTTACCTATTAGTGAACTTTTAAAACTGTCAGTGGCATGGTACCCTTCCTGATCTTGCAACAAAGTTCATTTCTATGACCTCTTAGTCTGAATTTTGCTTCCTTTTTTTGTTTTTCCTCATGACAGTTTAATCAAATTCAGATGCCAAAGGCTATTAGTGACATTATGGAAATATTTCATAGAAAGCAGTATTCAATGGCCCTCTGTCCTAATTGCAAAAATGTACTTAAGTGGAGCATGACTTAATCTAAAAAGACAAGTCTTTTTCTGTCTCATCAGTGAATTTTACAGCTGCCGTAGTACTTTCCAAAATTCCCTTGTTTTAAGTGTCAAATGTGGTGACGTTCACTTTCCAGCCTTTGGCTGGAATCCATGCAACCCCTTTATCACTATTCACAGGCAGCGTTTTTACTACTTATTTGTAGAAAGCCTTGAGAGAGTCTCATCTTACATCTGCTTAGTCTTTTGAGCTTTGTACACCTAGTTAATTAACCTGTTTTCTTCGTTGCAAGTGTTTCCACTAAATTTTGAAATCTTTTTTATTCATTAATTTATTCATTAATATTTTGTTGCTTTACTCTGCTGACTTGATAATACGGAGACCTGTGTACATTCAGTAGATCTGTATTTTCTTGTAGTTGCACCATTTGTTTATACAAGTCCATGCACATGATTCTGAAAGAAAGGGGACAGTAAGAAGGGCTTGCAGTTCGTCACTGAAAATTACTTTTTGTAATATACTGTATTGGGAAGACATGACCTGTGTAAGGGGACTTGGACAGTTTCTGTCATAAGAGAAGGTGACAGAGCCCTGGAACAGGCTGCGCAGAGAGGCTGTGGAGTCTCCTTCTCTGGAGACCTTCCAAACCCACCTGGATGCCACCCTGTGCCACGTGCTCTGGGTGTCCCTGCTGGAGCAGGGGGGTTGGACTGGGTGATCTCTAGAGGTCCCTTCCAACCTTAAGGATTCTATGATAAGACTGCCTGACCTTTAGCAGACTAATGCTTATGGCAGTTTCAAATATTTTCAAAATATTATTCAAAATAAGCAACTATTCTCTGTTGTCTGTTATACAGGGGGATTCTGAGTCCTCCTTAGCACCTCTCATTTTCCCTGTGACCTTGGATTAGGTAGCAGTTTGCTTCTTAATCCCATGGTAAACATCTACATACCCTTGATGCAAATGTATGCATTATTTTTGGTTCTCTGTGCCTGTCTCAGAAGCGTAAAACCAAGTTTTCTTGGAAGGCGTTAATTCAAAATTCTGTTCTGCTCCTGCATGAATAAATAACTGTAACAAGTAGATGCAGATTTTTAAGCCTTTTTGAGTCCTTGGAGCGCTCCCGAGACGCGGGCCTGGCAGCTTCTCCGCTGTAATCGTTCTGCTGCCTCCGACACCAGCAGCGGTGAGACACAGCATCCGCAGAGCGCTGCAAAGCCCGCTTTGATAAAGCTAAAGAGCTTTCATCTCTTTCAAGAGGAACAAAACACGCTAACTTTTGTGACAAGATTTTGCTGTTTGAAGTTGGTATTCATGACAATTTCTTTCTCTCTGGTGTTAACAGAGAGAAAGGAATCCTTATGAAAAGATGAAGGTGTTTTGTATTGTAAGTTGTACTTTGACCACTGCAATTTGTCTTCTGCTTTGCCAGAGCTAAACTAACGTTAGATTTTGTAAAAGTAGTCTTATTTTAGGACAGAATTTGTTTGGAAAGTTAGAGTGAAAGATGTAAGGGCCCAGGCAACGGAGGAGAAAAGAGAAACCCTATAGACAGATTTTCAGCATACCATCCTGCTTCCATCGTATCTTCCTAGTTCATCTGGTTGTCTTGATATTGCTGATGGGAACAGTCATAGATATTTGTGCAATTCTTGCTGTTACTAAGGAAGAAAAATAGCTGGTCAAAAATAAGTAGCACAGTAGCTGTGCAGCGCTACTGAGATTTGGTAGAATTTTATATGAAAAGTTGTTTTTCTTAACAATTTCTAAATGGATTCTTGCAAATTTTTGGTAAGATGAATCTGAATATTTAATTGGGTGGAAGACAACATTGCTTAATTTTGGTTTTAATAGCAACAACTTTCTTGGAAATATTTTGCATCTGTTTACATTGCTGCATTACAGGCCCCATTTAACATTCTAGTGTTCAGTTCATTTCTTCATTGCATTGTTTCCCTTAAAATGTTGCTTCTAAAAGCAAATGACTAACAAATACAATAAATTATGTGTTCAGTTTATGGATTAGTCATCATTAAATATTATTCTAAAAGGCATCAGAGGTTTTTTTCAAGCTGTAGGAATTTCATTCTTCCAAAGTTTATGTTGTTAAGCAGGAATTACTTATAAATGGAAGTGATAAAGCTGTAACAAAAACAATAATCCGTTGAATCCAGAATGACAGGACATAAACATTGCAGTCCTACAGCGAGGCAGCATGCCTTAAAAATAGAACTGGAAAGAATTTCTCAGAAGGACAAGCCTGAAATATCTTCTCCATTAAACAAGCCATCACCTCTGCAAAGTTTATAGACACATATATATAGAAAATGAAAAAATAGTCTCCCTGAAGGTGCTGCTCTTTTCAGTATCACTTGCTATCCCAGTGTCTGCAAGTGGGAAAATACTAGTCATAAAAAATGATGATGAATTGTTGCTGGGAATTAACTTGAAATTTTTGTGAAGCCAAGGTTTTATGCTTTAATAATTCATGCAATGTTATTAAGAAGAGCCTTTCCTTTTTACACCAGAATAGTACTTCATGCCCCAAGGTATGTTAATGAAAGGAGGAATAGTGAGCAGCGGATGCCAAAGTCAGCTCCGTGTTTCTGCTCACATGAACAGTTCTACTGGATCTTCCTCTCTCTGACATATATGAATAATTTTATATGGCTGATTAGTGAAAGTAGCTCATAGAAGTTCTGATGAACTTCCTAAAATCATCCCTTTCAGTTGCCCTCATCAATTAACAACAAATTTCATTCTGTCTTGCAGGATGTATGTGTGAAGGCTTATCTAGCTCTTCGACACCACACAAACCTGCTGATCATCCTCTTCTCCATGATGCTAATGACTGGAATGCCCCAACTAACCAGCAAAGAAGATATTGAGTATATTCGGGATGCGCTGACAGTAGGGAAGAGCGAGGAAGATGCTAAAAAACATTTTCTCGATCAGATAGAGGTTTGCAGAGATAAGGGCTGGACTGTGCAATTTAACTGGTTTTTGCATCTCGTGCTTGGAATCAAACAAGGAGTAGAAAAGCATTCTGCTTAATGTTTTGTGTAAATTAAGTGTAGGCATGATAGGGACTTAGTGGATCTATATGTTGTTATTTATGCATTCCTAATAAATGAACAGTTAAAATTGCCTTTACTTTCTGGCAGCTGAAATGGATCTTCTAAAAAAGGCAAGAAATTATGCTTGCCCCTCCAGAAGATTCTCCTGCAGTTAAGATTTTTTTTTTTAGTGTCTAATGACACTGAAGATTGCTGGATTCTGTTAGCCAGTTGCTTTGCTTATGTGACTTGCAGTTTTCTTTTTTTCTTTAGTAATAAATTCAGATATGAAGGAGGAGCATGAGTAAGATGATAACCTCCAAACTGAAACAGAAATTCCCTGTGACATCGTCATTTGTGAGGGTGAAACCCTTCAAGTGGAGAAGAGTCTGTTTAAAATTCATGGTCACACTGAAATCCCCGTAGGATTTTCTTTTTCAGGAGGCCTTACTCTCCAGGAGCACAGATCTTTCCCTTCCTTAATTCTTTATTCTTTCTGATTTTTAATAGTGCTATCAGTAGAAAACAGCTCTGATTCCACTGCTAGAACAAATTGTTACCATTTTTGTAGGCTGCTGTCGAGCAACTGCTCTTGACTATCTCTCTAGCAGAACCTCATGGTTACCTGGAAGTTCCTCAGGTTTGAATCTCAAATTCGTTACATTTAATTTTGGCAGCTTTATGCTGTGCTTTTTAACAGGGAATATCCATATTACAGGTTATATTCTTACTGTAAAGTTGCTGCAATTCCATCTGTATAGTGAAAGCTTTGTAGCAAAAGCAACGGTACTTTGATTTTCCTCAGAGAAAACTCCTTATATAAGAGTAATTAACATTTTACCAAATATTCAAAAAACCCAAAGATTATTTATTCTTTGGTGATATATTTTCAGGATATACCTATCAGGAGTTAAATGTAATCTTTGAAATTTTGTGTATATTTTGCTATTTATTTTTAAATTGTTTAAGAGACTATACTACTGAAAAGCTATTTATGAAAGAAAAAAAGAATAGTTATTTTTAGAGGAAAAAAATGGGCAGTGTTAAGTAGAATTTTGCCTTCTCTACTGTAGAATACCTGCAAATCATCAAGTGTGCCTATGGTAGGAAAAATATATATAGCACAAATTTATTTTTGACTTGAATTATATGGCACACTTCCTGCTAATTGATTTTTACCAAAGAGATGATGGCTTACAGTATTGCTTTTTTGCACTTGTGCCCATGTAGTTTTGTCTTTCATTATCATTTTACATGGGTTTTACTTTACATTTAAATGATTAACTGTTTTTTTTTTCATTTTTTCTCATTGCTTCGATCATTTCACAGACCTATAAGGATTTTAACTACTGCTGCCACTGTTACTACTGAGTGTATTCTTGAAAGATTTTTAATAAATGTACTGTAATTAGTGTCTCATTTATGAGATGCGTCCAATCCTTTTTTGAAATGTAGATGTTTAATTGGTCACTGTGCCTGACAACATTTTCATGTATATTAGTAGAGTAAGATAAAGAAGTCTAAAAAATTTTAAATGCTGAATATTTTGTTGTTCGGTTACATAATTATCCTGTGCAAGATAGTCTTAAGATGATACTAAAATAAACTAAATGGTGAATATTGTTTGTAAAATGGTATTTTTAAGTTTATGTTTTGTAGACCTGAAATAAATGAGCCTGTTCTGTA